TCGTGAATCAATTACTTAAATGCGATCATGATCTCATATTCTACGGATGACATAAGTATCTGCTAGCAGTAGTGATATTTTCCTTTGATTTTACCTTTTTAAGTATATTGTTCAAGGAAAAGGGTGGAAAAGAACGGTGATGTTAAATCCTTGCTGAAATTGCATATGAAACCCAATTTATGTTTTCTGCAGTTCATACAGTTAGCAGTGAGCTTGAAGATCCTTCTCGGATACAACCAGTTATCTGGACGTCATTAGTTTTATGCACTGTTGTCTACATAATGACTAGCTTCTTCGGATTCCTCCTATTTGGTGACTCAACTCTTGGTGATGTGCTGGCCAATTTTGACACCGATCTTGGCATTCCTTACAGCTCTATCGTCAGTGACATAGTTCGCTTAAGCTATGCTCTACACCTCATTCTTGTCTTCCCAGTCATCTTCTACCCGCTGCGTTTAAATTTGGATGGCCTCCTGTTTCCTTCTGCAAGGCCTTTGGTGTCTGATAATTGGAGGTTTGCTTTGATGAGCATAGGCCTAATCTCTCTTATCTTCCTAGGTGCAAATTTTATTCCCAGCATCTGGGATGCTTTCCAGTTCACTGGAGCTACTGCTGCAGTTTGTCTTGGGTTTATCTTTCCCGGGACCATTGTTCTAAGGTGAGAAGTTTTATTTTACAAAAATGCAGTGATTACTAAAATATGGGGAAATAGATGTATTAGCATAGGACTCCACGGTTAAAATTATATTGGTTGTGTAGGTCCTACTCTTTTTTGGTCCTACCCTCATGTGACGGGGAACTTCTAGGATGATTCAGTCTGTGTTTTTTGCTAGATTTGGATATAAATATGCTTAATGACTTGATCATCAAGTAATTACAGTGACTTGATTAAAATCATCTTAGACTGGACTTCTTCATGAATTTACAGAGGCTAAGATCCATCAGTTGACTGACTTCCATTTTTGTGGTTTTAGGGATCCGCATGGCATAGCAACAAAGAAAGATAAGATCATGTCAGTTTTCATGATTAGCTTGGCTGTATTTTCAAATCTGATAGCTATATTCAGCGACGCCTCCAACCTGTTAAAGAAGAATTTACCCTCACATGCCTAGTATCATCACTGGGTTGAAGCTTTTTGGAAGATGAAATTGAGTTCTGACTTAAACAAGCTGTTCCGTGTATTACCTAAAGTGAATCCTTAATGAAATGAATAACATCACCATCCATTTGCAGGCAAATCATTACATGTAGGATGTGTTTGGAGGAAAGTTCATTAATGTATGATATGGTATTGAGATGGTTTTACCTTATTTGGATCCTATTCCAAATACGTTGTATGATTTTTTTAATGGCTTTTGCATGGTTTTCCAAACCATCGAATTGATGGTTTTTAGGTGCTAAAAAA